ATGACATGGTATAATATGTCATGTGTTGTTCATCTGAGGTTGTTTTGCAGCCACAAGACCTGGGCACCTTGCAGTCATTGAGTCGACCATGAACTCCTCTGTATACCAAAGTATTCTAGAGTCAAATGTGAGACCAACTGTCCGACAGCTACTAATTTTGAGAACTGCTAAGGACCAGATGATTTCTATTATGTCCTGATACGTAAAACCATAGAACTCAAGGGTGTACTTTCTTTTTCACATGACTGTATAGTATTTAATCACTTGATCTACAGCACTGTAAACATACCCAACCAATGGGGATGCTGAAGAGTGATAGAGCTTTTTTGACAGAAATTGATTGTTTTCATCAGAAAAGGAGGGCTAGTTTTCCTTTAAAATGGTAGGGATGCTTTAGATTTGCTTAGAATACAGTAATGAGTAATACAGTTCTTTTCTGTACAGACTTTGTTTAAAACAAGTATTTGCTTTAGCTCTTTAGTGCAATCAAAGCTTTTTCCTACTTCAGAAGATAAAAATCCAGAAGATCCATTGTCTGAAGTCAAAGATCCCTTACCTGAAAAACTTAGAAATTCAGTGGTAAGTTGGATCGTATTTCAAATTAATAATAATAATGACAAGTTTGTTATTATGAGTACTAAATATTGAACTAAATAGTTGATATATTTCTGGAATATTCAGGAATAATAGCCATCTTAGTTGCAGCCTGATACCTACAGATGTTTTGGGGTTGTATACAGTTATATCTCCAGTAGAAAGAACACCACTAGTGTTTCTGCTATCCATAATCCAAATCTGCACTGTAAGACTGGAGAAAGATTAATAGGGTTCATGAGCAGGGAATACCTCCTGAAGTATTAATACTTATTATTGCTCATGATATCTAGGGCTTATGGGAGATATAGTCCAGAACATTTGGAGGGCATACCAACATGCATGTTCCATGTCTACAGTTCTATGAAAAGAGTATTTGACCATTTCAGAATTCCTCAATGTTTGCATATCATTGCCACTGAATCAGAGTTGGACCTTTTCAGGCTGTATGGGTGTTATTATATCTAGTGTAAATCAAACAATACATTCTGCTATAAGAACTTCATACCATTAGTCAAGCATGGAGCTAGTAGTGCCATGGTTTGGGGATGCTTTGCTTCATCAGGACCTGGATGACTTGTTATTGTTGAAGGAAGCATCTTGTCAGAGAATTCTACAGGAGAAGATCAGATCATCTGTCTGTCAGCTGAAACTGAAGTGAAATACAAGTGGGACATACAACAATCCAGTGATCCCAAATATACAAGCAAATCTATAAGATAATGGATGGAGAGCAAACTCAGTGTTTTGGACTAGCCAAGTCAGTGCTGACCTAAATCTCATAGAAGTATTGTGTGGGACCTGAAATTAGCAATTAGTGCGAATGGGCCAAAATTCCTAAGTACAGTGGTACCTTGGGATACGAACGCCTCTACTAACGAACTTTTCGGGTTATGACCAGTTCCGGCCACAAAAATTTACCTCGATGTGCAAACTCCGCCTCGGGGTACGGCCATTTTTCCGCCCTGACACGTGGTCCATGGCCATTTTCCCGCCCCTGACGCGTGGTCCGCGGACGCCAGAACGGATTAACGGTAATTACATTGAAACTTATGGGAAAATTTGCT